TTGACGTCCGTAAGTTACATTCAATAGTATCATGTAAATTAGCGGGTCGACCCGGGTGTTTCCACAGCATCCCGATCAGCCGAGTCATTTGACCCAGGTAGACACGCATCAGTGAGCGTTTTCACTGCCACTATTGTTCCAGGGTCAAAACGGGTTTTTTGGCCAATGGGAAAGGAGTAGAACACGTTCTGGCCTCCAAGAGAATACTTTAGCACACGTTTTGCCTACCAAGCGGGCACAGTTGCAAGCAGTTTGGCTGCAAGAGAGTACTTTAGTGCTTTGCTTACAAGGGTGGACTTAAGCAAACGTTTTAGCTCCCATGAAGGCCCTTTAGTGCACGTTTTAGTTTCTATGAGGCCCCTTTAGCATGCATTTTTCAGTAATTGAGACACAGTTACTCTGTAGTCATAAAACACATGTAGATTGGAGAAGCATAGTTCCAAAAGACCCGGTCAATGTTTCTCCTGATGGGGTGAAAGCAACATAGCTTCTCCTGAATCTGAGGCTCAGTCAGGGCCTCCTCACCACTAGCCTAGAATAAGCTTCCTAGGGGAAGGAGGGCTGAGAGATATGATCCTTCCTTAACTGGTAGTTCTCTTACAACTACCAGTATTTGGGCTACCACAGCAGTCTATACTATAAGCATTTAAGAGCTGTACTAATCATGACAGCCCTGCAATGTCCATGGCCTTCCACATCTCACACATACTAGCACCTTCACCATCCTTTGCCTCCACAGACAAAGTAAAAAGTGTTTCATCGGGCATAAAAAGGGAACGACAAAAATGGACTGTAAGTGGTTCAAAGTCCTCTTCTCAGGCAGAATAGTGATTTGTAGGTGACATGGTTGCTGGGAGAGGCAGAGGATCCAAGCTGATTCAGGTACTGTGTGAAGTTAACTGTTAAAATATGGGAAATCATGCCATCTGCTGGTGTTGGTCTACTGTGTCCAAATCCAAAGGGAAGCAGGAAATGAAACTGGAAAAATTTGCTTTCCTTTGCTAATAATTTGCATTCCAAGTTAGCCTTAGTATTTGTCCACTCTGACGGATTAAATGACCTTAGTGTCACTGTTCCCAACTGACCAGAAAACCTGATGGAGAGAAAGCTCAAAGACTTGAGTCAAAATAACTTGAGAACAATCAGTACGCAATCTCCATGCATTTCTATACATATGTAAATGTTACCTAAACATTTCAAGAATACTCTACTTTATATTTGCAAGATTTCCACTTTGAGTAAAATAAAACTCATTGTGGATTATCTGATCATGCCACTAGTAGATTGTGGACAAAACAAAGTTTTCACACCTATGTAAACTAAGTTAACTAGTTTCTAATACCATGTAGTCTCAATTTTTAATGAGAAAATAAAGAGAAAACATTTGCCTTCAAAAAAAGAAAAGCTGGGTTATCAACTAATGTTGCAGTTCTGATTTCATGGCTGAATTTCTTGCAGAGAAATAAACTACATGTGCCTCCCCCTACTCCTACTACCGATTAATGTCTGAATAAAATCTCTGCTCATACATTAGTTATCTGTATATTACTAGTTATCTATACATTATATTCATCCATTAGTAATTCTGTTTATAATGGTATTCATCTCTATACTTATTCAGTAGAAACCCATGTCCTGTATTTATGGAACCATTATTTATCCCGCACTTGCTGCTATTGCACTTCTGGTTAGACCTAAACTACATTTCGTTGCCTTGTACCTGTACCTGTGTAGTGACAATAAAGTTGAATCTAAATCTAATCTAACATTCAACCCAGATGTGGATTAAACCCTGCAAGCTGCAACCTAACAGCAAAAAGTAAAGAATCAAACGTTATTAAATGGCCCAAACATTAACAGAGCTGTAAAGGAAAAAAAAAAAAAAAAACTAATGGAAAATGTTTATAGAGATTAATAACAATGATAGTTTATTTATGTTCCAGGAGAATTGTTTGCTCTGTCTTTGACATTTTCCCTGCTTCTAAGACAGTTACAGTACATTAGCATACAATATCTGCATTTTTATTCAGAACACAATCTGAACAACAGCTTAAAACAGACTCCATGAAAAAAAAAATAAAAACAGATGAAACAGAATAAGAAAGAAATAAATGTACACATGTTAAGGGTAATATATTACACTTACACAAGATGCTATGTTAAGAGGAATCCACATTACAAGTTCCCAGTGAATCATACGTCAAATGCTACAGCGACACAATTAGAGAAACCAAATAAAAGGATTAAAGTGATGAAGAGCACATGGGGAAAGAATTTCAGCACAAGGCAAAACAGAACCTACCTTTCATGTGAGAAAAAACAAACTTCACAGTGTAATAGAAACAGATCATTTTAACAGTAATACAGTGAATGTCTTCAAATTACCATCTGTCTAAATAATTTTTTTGACTCAAAATGTCTGAACAGATGAACAAAAATCAAGTGTGAGATTAAGTTAATGCAAAAAACAAGCAGAAATGCAAAAAGAGTGTTGGTTCAGGTAACCGATCTGAATCTAAAGCTGTGTGTAAAGCACTGAGAAACAGGGCAAACCTTAAGGTAACGGTTCAGACACAAGGCATTAACAAGGTTTAGAGTTGCATGGGGCCCACACTGAGTGAAATCTGGTCCTAAGGGTTTCTTTCTGCTGTTTACGAGGTCGCCGTTTGTGTTAGATCCTGATATGGTCATCAGTATTCGTACGACAGGCTGGCTGCAGCACTAGATTTCACCTCGAACAGGAGAAGCTGAACAACGTAGGAGCTGCAGCGTCCACGGCTCCTCTCAGACAGCCTGTGCCTCCGCTCTGCCTAAGCGAGCCATGTGGTGCCCTAACCAGCAGCTGATCTCTGGCGCCCTCATGTGGAGCTGTACAGACCAATCTGCTGCACCTTGCCAAGCTGTGTTAGCAGCTTCTTCATGCTGTGTTTGAGTTGAGGGAGACGTGCAAGAGGCTCTGGAGGCTCCAGCTCCCCGGTGTAGTCCAGCCAGCTCTCTAACACTGAGGATGATGAAAGCAAACATCAGGGATGTTTCCCAACATGACTGCCTCAAACTTAACGATTTATTTCTCTTACCATCCAACTCTCTTTCTATGAAGTCCATCCTGTGTGAGACATCATCCTGGACAGCGTCAATATGATCCAGCAGGTTAAGCTGCCACTGTTGGTACTGCCCGTTATCTCCCAGGTCTCTGCAGTCATCCTCTCTGTTCTCAGCGTGCGACCATGCCACACCTGTCAAAGCCTAAAAAACAAAATACAATCAGTCCACAAACTGACACTGATGAAATAATAAAGGCTGAACAGAGGAAAAGGTTGCCATTTTTCCCCTCTTGGGATTTCAACCCATCTGTCATATTTGCAAGCTTTTACGGTGGTTAGGATCCAATGTTTCTGCACACCAAAAGGACTGCTGAGCTGCCATCTTAAGGCTCTACACTCAGAAAAAGGATGTAGTAATAAAAGCATCAATGATTCAGCTTTTGCATATTTGTCTAGGTTTCAATACACCATAGGGATGAACTGTCCAAACCAGTTAAATCTGGTTTTTGTCACAAATATTAAGATGCTGATATCAGGCTTGCAGTCAAAAGTAATCCAACTTCCATCCATACGCTTTGTATGGTGTCTGCATCTCATCTGAATGGTAGCTAGGCAACCAGCGCTGGCATTTTCTATTATTTTACTGTTAAAAGCTGAATAAACAGCTGACCCTGATGTAGTAGTAGTGTAATATTTTATAACGGCACTAGAACTGAAAGCCTAATCCTGGATTAAAAAAGAACCATGGGGTGTAGGAGCTTTGGCTGCTGATAGTGCTAATTAACTATTATTAAGATGCTAAAACTAGTTTATATGTCAACTCAGAACAATTATGTCAAACTGACAAATTACAAATTATTATAGCAATTTCAATCTTTAAACAGTGTTTAAAAATGTGTTGAATTGAAACGGTGTTTCAATAATTTTGTTTTGCACATAAGTTACTTATTGTTCCAGTTTTCATATGCTTGGAAGAGATTTAAAAATAAACACAAATTAAACAGGAACAGCTAATCTTTAATGGTGCATTCTGAATTTCAGATGCAGTGTTTACATCCTGGACCACATCAAATACGAAGAGCTTCCTCTATGTGAAGCTGAGACCATACTGACAAAAAAAAAAAAAAAAAAATCAGCTAATAGACTAAATGGTTATTGCTTCTTTAGTGCTGGTTTGTGCACTTAAAATGGTCATTGAAATAAATGAAAAAAAAAAAAAAAAATATGTGCTGCTGTTGTATCAGTGATAAAGATTACGTTTAGGTCACCCAGAGGTCAACTATCCCCCATTTAAGCTCCGAATTGAATTCAAATTATCTAGCCAACTTTTTCAGTACTACTTCATTTGTGCTGGTAAAACTATTGTTTGTGCCGATTTGGTTTTTAAGTTGGAATAATTTTTAATCATGGCCGATGTCACCATCCCAACAGACGTTGGGGCTGCGCTCATCACGTCATTCCTGTGCTGGCATAGAATATAGCCATGGGAATGTTTACTCGTTTAGTGGCTGGAATGTTTGACCGTTTCTCAATGTGTGTACTTGTGCGTTCTCATGTGCTCGTGTACTTGACGTCATCAGTCATCAGCCTCAGCCCTAGTACTGGTCCAATTCATGAGAACAGCAGACCGAGAACGGACAAAGTCCCTGGATGTTGTTCTGTTGTTGAGAACCGGCCTTTGTTTAATATTCAGTAAATTACCAGCCTCCAAAAACCTTCGCTTTGGACCTGCAGTTAACCCTAGCAACCCCAGGTCATTTCCTGTAAAAGTTTTGCTGTCAACATTTCACAATAAAAGCATGGGTTAAACTTAACATCATGTACTGCTGCAAAATTGTTGTCTATGAACTTTTAAAACTTGGCCAGACCATCAAAAAGTCCAATTTGGTTCATCCAGAGCTTTTATCTGGATGACAGGCATATTTGGTGATACTTCCTTGTAAATCTACCCCCACAGAAAGCACCAATGCTGGACAGCGGGCAGTGACACACACGCTCTGTGCTCGAGGTGAGTGAGCAGTGCTTCTAGGACTAAATTGAAACTGATTTTTTTTTTTTTTTTTTTAAAGCAACTTAAAGACCTCTTGAGTGCATTCCTTATTTCTACCCTTTTTAACATTTTCTCTGTATTCCATTTTAAGTGGGAAAAAAAGAATTGCTTAAAACCAGTCCCTGATTAGCTGCTGTGTCAAGATTTCATAGAAAAGTTTAGCTCATTCGAATTTCAGCGATCACAGCTCTGCTCTCTGCATGTGGTGCTGGTGTTTGACAACAGCAAAGCTCTATCTGGTAGCACGAGCTGAGGGCAGAGAAGTGTGCGCTCTCACCCCGTGGAGTTCGTTGCTGGCCGCTTCCCTGCACGGATTGTATAGGAATTCTAAGTGAATCCAGCACAATCTCTGCGGACACCATGTCTGGTCTGAATGCACCATAAGAGGCATTTTGTTCCGAAATGTAACATTTTTTTTCAAATATCTAGTTATAATGTAGTTAAAGTCAGATTTTATTTTAATTCATAATATTCTTCCTGAACCCATCTTAAGGATGATGTTTCACCTCCAGCAGCCCTGAAATTATCCCTGAGTGACGCATTTATCCAAACCTTGTTGCCATTTCCCGTTGATTTAGGCTTGTCCATCTCCAGCAGGCTTCCAAAGCGCTGCTCCCGCTCCAGCAGCTCCTCTGTGCTCCTCATGCTGTCCTCCAGTTCTGAACCCTGTCTGGTCTCTACCACCAGGCGCTGCTCCACAGCTGGGTAATACGCCCGCGGTTTCTGATAGCAGTGTTCGCTGGTAATGTACGAGTCCTGGAAGGACGGGAAGGCGGGGGAGGAGCTGGAGGATGACGAGGTGGCGGCTGTAGCAGCGCGACTTAGCTTCTCCAGCGCGTTGGACATCAAGATCTCTCCTCTGCTCATGTCCTCCTCAGGAGTCAGAGGGGAGGGAGCGGTGTTACTGCCTCGGCATGAGTCTGAACCGAGCCGCGGCCGATCCAAATGCTTCCAGGGCTGCTGCCATAGCCTGAGGTCAGGGTGAGTGCTACTCCTGAACACACACACACAATGAAGCTAAGATTAGTGGGTATAAACCGGTTAGGTCTGCTGTTACCAACTGCAGAGACGGCGCCATACTCACTGCAGGACGTTCATCTTGAGCTGCAGCCCGTTGAGAATCTCCACCACATGGTGCACGTCTCCTAGCAGCTGGTGGGTGGTGGTGATCTTCTTGGCGTTTTGGTGAGAGTAGTTCTCCTCCAGGAAGGATAGGCCGTACATGTGGCCGTTGGTCAGCCACTCACGATCGTACCAATAGCGCAAACTCTGCCTCTGGCCTAAGACGGAGAGAGCACTCTTAGACAAAGTGGGGAGTTTTACAAATGTTTTGATGTGTCAACTGAGAGCCAAACGTGACAGATATCCAATCAAATGGAAAACACTTCATATACTTCAAACACTCTTTATTGCCCTGACTTTCATTACAATGAATCCAATAAAGCTGGATGTTAAGAATTCAGCTTCAGTGTATTTCTCACACAATAAAAAAATAATAATAATAATTGGGTCTTTAAAAACAGAAAAAACGACTTCCATATTCTGATATTATTTTTTTAAAACCACTCTGATGCTTCCGTACTTTCAGGTTTGGGTTAGTGTCACACATAATGATTGAACCAACATGAGAGGAATCGAAGTCATTTTAAGCCAATCTCTCCATTTCAGGGGCTCAGACGTAACCAACTAATTAATGGCAACAATGGGCTGAAAGCTTGAACCTCACAGACACCGAGGTTTACCTCTTCATTTCATTTTCTTCTAATGTGCAGCAGCCTTTAGCCACCGCTCTCTGCGGGCCTGTGTGTTTGACGTTAACTTTTTAACAACCATTTTGTTTAGTTTTTTTAAGATCAGGTGACTAACCATGGAAATGAAGAATATTCCCCTACTTTACTTTAATGAACTTGTTTGCTGGAGTTTCTTTTTTTAGTTATTATACATCTGTGTCTTCCAAGTTGCTGCTCCTTCATACGCCCTCCCATTTACTCAGGTCAGCTGCTTCTTGAGGAGCCTAAAACTAAACGGAAGCTTGGGAGGGGGATCGGGATTTCTCTGTGGCGGCTCCAAAATTTTGAAAAAACTTCCAACGCGAATTACAAAGTCTACCTCTTTGTCAGATTTTAAATTTCTTCTGAAAATTCATCTTTTTGCCATGGTTTTCACAACAATTTGAGATGTTTTTATTAGCCCGTGATAAATCATTTTAAATTATTTTATTGTAGGTTTTATAGTTTGGATTCAAATATTGTTGACTTTTATGCATTTATGTTTTGTATATCTTGTAATGGTTTTATGTCGTTTCACATTACAGCACTTTGGTTTTAAAGTTTTTTTTATAAATAAAGTTAGATTGGATTGTATTATAAAACGCTGCCCGAAAAGTCTGACTGCCTTTAGCTGGATTTGATCAGTCGGTAATGAGGCTTCTGTTCCCGGTCCACTCATCATTAGACTGCGGCATCCCACTGCCATCATCCTGGTCAAGGTCAACCTTTATGTCACCTATACCAATAATGTTCCTTCAGAATTCTGTTGACTTTAATAGAAGGACAAAGTTCAATCTTGCCTTTTTTTTTTTATCTTGGGGCTTATGACTAGTTTCCACCTTGCAGGAAACCCTATGCATTTATTCACCATCAGTTTTCTTCTAATAGCAAAATTGGACAATGATTTTCCAGGAGTTTCTCTTCACCAAGTAAAATATTGCAGATCTTCACAAAGAGGAAAAAACACCTCAGATCCAGCACCGGACATTTAACTGTTTGACTGGTTATTACATAAAAAAGGAATAACCCAGACATGCCCATGAAATTGCCTTTAGGTCAACTGTTGTATCCCATTAAAATGAAAGTGGTACCACACTAAGAAGCTTAAACTTTCTAAATATTATAAATCCACCATTAAAAAATAGCTGAAAGTAGTTCTCCTTCAGAAAGGACAGGCCGTACGTGTGGCCAAGGATTTTTCTATGAACAGACATTTGTCTTCTGTTACTTTAAAAGTAAACATTTCCAAGTTTAGCTCCCTGATGTAAGCAGTTCTGGCTGATGAAACCAGCATCTTTAGACTCACCTGGTGGATCTCTGCAGATGTAGCAGGTGTATCGGTCTGGAACATTGTCCTCCAGCAGACCCATGCAGGTGCCGTGCTGCCAGCAGAGACAGTCTTCACACTGAGACAGGCAGACACTTGTTACATAAACATTATGTGCTTTATATTTAGCAAATTGGAGGGTTAGAAAAAAAAAAAAAAAAGAAAAAAAGCCATACCTGAATCATGAAGTCATTTTCTTCTTCCACCTCACAGATGCATCGCACAATCTCCTGGTCGTTGGAGTCCAACGCGCCCGAGTCCACGCTGAGGGGAGGAGTAGTGACGTCCAAATCCATCTCAAAGTCGTCGTCGCTCCACCCACAGCTGTCAGTGGACCAGTCACTGATGCTGTCCTCATCTACAGTAACAATAAGCACAATCATTGGACCTCCTGGTGTCTAACGTTATCCTTTGTTGATTCTGCTGTCAGGATGAGAATTCAGCTAAATATTGGTGGGAATACAGAGGTTTAATAGGTACCTGCAGATTAAACAACAAAGCAGGCCTGCAGCAAAGAACAGCCAAGGATTCAACCAACCATAAGCTCCATGTAAGAATACCAAGAGATATAGACTGATTAGCTGTAGGCTATGGACCTGCTGGTTGGAAACCAAACATCTTTTTCTGACCACTAAAATGACAAGTCTTGCAGGGCAGCGATGGGAACGGCAGCTCTAAGGGTTACTAAATAAATAGAGCAATATACTATAGACAAATATTAAGGTAAAACCAGAATATAAATGATCATTTAGATGAAAATAAGATCTTTATTTTGATTTTTAATGTGAGATGTCAAGCAGGACACGACAGCCTCACGAATCATTACTCGAGTTCATTTAAAAATTTTTATATGTTGCCATTTAAAGGGGAACACCGTTTTTTTTTTTTTTTTTTTTTTTTTACATTGGGCCCTTGATTTTACGTTATTACATCATGTTCTACTCAACCATACTAGTTTTGTCTCATTTGGAGCTGTTCTGAAGATATTCCGTTATATCCAAGCAACGTCTTCCTATGGGCAACGACTTGAAGGCACAAACTAAACTGTTCATAATTTATCATTTATGGTACGCCAGCATTCATAACATGCAGGCGAATCACTGTCTCCCAGACATTTTTTATATTTATATTTTTTAAAACAAAGCAGTGTGTATGATGTCATCCGCGTGCCGGACTGGAGTTGTGAGAGGCAGCCTGGGCCACAGGCGGCTACGCTCTCTCCCTTCTATTCATTCGGCTAGCTAATCTTAACCGTTCAATTCCATTTTGAGAGCGAGATCATCTGTGGTAGCAGCACTAGACATCTTCCAGGCATGTGAGTAAAACTAGCAGCAGTTCAGTGGACAGGATGAATGAATGGTAGCCGGCGCGCGCAGATCTTATTCATGGGTAGATTGGTGCTTATAGGTAAGATTATCCAGACAGTCAAGAGCTGAATCTTTACTTCTCTCTGTTGGTCTGAAGCAGAATAGGGAGACCCATGTATATCTGATATTTCATCAGCTTTGGTCCCATTCCATTTTATTGTTTAAGACGTTCAGTTTTTTGTTTTTTGTTTTTAGCTTGACTGATTTGTCAAGCACTTTGTACAACTTCCTTTTAATGTGCTGCATAAATAAATAGACACGGATTAAAACTGACAATTCGAACCACGATGACTGTCTCCATTCAAACGGATCAAACCCTGTTTTACTGGAACTCCTCTCCCTTACCTAAAAGTTAACCTCATCCTAACATTTATATACATTATATTTTTCATTCTCAAACAAGTTTTTAACTATATAAAAAGTGTAATTAGCAGGTCGAAGGGTTAAAAATAAACAGACCAGAAATGATGGTCTATTTGGTCTATCTGATCGGTGCATCTCGGGTTATTAAGGGGGCAATAAAACTACAGAGACATACATAAGTTATATAATCGGCACAGCTGGCAGCATGGTGGATTGAATCCAAAGGCGACAAAAGAAGAGAGAAGGAAGCAGCCTAACACACTTACTCAAACTGAAGTGAACTCACACACACACGGTAATAGATATACCCACCATCAACCAGTATCTGCTCTGAGTAGCTGTGTCCGGGCCTGCTGGAGTAGGCCTCAGGCTTGTGATTGTGTGAGAGGGGGGATTTGAGTGGAAAATTCAATTTGGAGTGAAGACCCAATACTGAGATGTCAATATTCTCCTCACTACCTGTGCATTCTGTTAATACAGGGAGGGGTAAGGGGGGGAGGCAGATGTGAAACAAAAACGTCAGCTGTGATAATTGCCAAACAGATCAGGCGGCGACAAAACGTGGCACAGAAACAACGCTGGCAGGTTATGGACTCAACGGCAACCAGGGAAAACATTTTCACACGGCTTATATTTCAGGGCTGTGTGAACCGATGGGTTAGAGGGAGGCTATCCCGTGTGGGTAGATAACGTCAAACCTTATGATTAGGTACAGGACGCATCAGTCCCACAGGAAAACCTGGCTTTTTTTAATTAAACACCAAGCTGCATGAAAAACGAGCTGCAGCTTCCTGCTTGTCTTCCTGGAGACAAACGAGTAAGAAACGTTTCCACTTCTACACACAAACCCAGTCACCACACCCAGGAGTGAACGGAGTGCTCAGGAAGGATAGCCATCGCAGCGAGTGCACATGCAGAGCAGCATAGGATCCAACTCGTCTAAAGACCTCCTCCTTACCAGACTTGGCCTTCTTTTTCTTCTTCTTCTTCTTTAGTTTAATGCGCAGGAAGTCCTTCTGTTTGGGTTTCTCTTTGAGTTTTTCTCTTACAGACCCTGAGGACCATTAGATAACAAATGTTAAGATTCAGCTGAAGACAGTTTTACCTGCAGAAACCTACAGATTTTTTGTTTTAAACTAGTTATAGGAGTTATTTGTGTCATTTAAGATACATTAAACATTACAATGTAGGATGGGTTGTTTGTTCTCTGCATGTTTCTGATTGAATAAATCTGATTTTTATAAGAACAAAATGATCACACCAATAATGTAGACCTTTTAGAGACTTAAATATGATAAACTTGGTGTTAAAGGGTTAAAAACAAAATAACTGTTTAACAAAATGACAAAACAATTCCTATAGCAAATATTCAACATAAAAAAAAGTTATGTTTTAGATAAAGGTCAAGAAATATTTGCAGCTCTAAACGACTAAGCTACTGGGTTTGGGGTAAAATGGCTGGTTTGAAAGGCTGCAGCTACTGTTTTAGAGCAGAAACTGGAAAAAAAAAAAAAAGAGGGGGGGAGACTTATTTCCCTGCTTCAATAGAAACTACATTTTTTTCAGTCAAGTTAAGCAACTGTTGTCGAACATTTATTTAAAAAAAAAAAAAAAAAAAAAAAAAAAAAACTTGTTCTGTGCCAAAGGGAAAACACGAAATAAAGAAGCTCCTTTGCACCAACACCACATCATACTCACCGATGTCGAAGCAGATCTTGTCAGTGTCCTTATCCTGCATCTGGCAAAGGTTCCTGTCCAGCTGGTTTTCCTTACTCTTCTCCCTCAGCAGCGCCCTCTGCTGATGGCCTTGTGTGCTGACTGCTGGGGGCGCCGACGTGCGCCTGCCTGCAGCCTTGATATCGCCACGTGAAGCAGCAGCGGGTCCAGCTGACTCTAGAATGGAGAGTTAGAATCACTCCATTAGAGAACAGTTATGGTCAGATGATGGTTTCTTCCTCATTTCAGAGAGTCTAAGTGTATCTAGACAGGAACCCACGCATAGAGGCAGAGATTGTGCGCCTTCTCTTGGAGCCGTCCAGTCCAGCGGCTGCTGTGGACTGCTTCTCTGAGGCCCTGGTCTGGACGCTCCTGGTGGGGCTGTGCTGTCCCTCTGGAGGCGGCTCTTCGCCGTGGTAATATTTCATGTGATAATGCAGCAGCTTTGCTTTACGGAATGACTTTGCACAGCCTGGAGCGCTACACTTGAAAGGATTATGGTCGAGGTTAATTGACAGAACTGGAGGAGGCTGGTTTTTGATGACTCTGTACACTAGAACAAAACATAGATCATTAATTTAAAAAAATAAAAATATTTCATATATATATATGCAAAGGTGACCAAATGAGAATAGAGGAGGATTTCATTGGGCTGTAGACTTACACGGCTCTCTGCTGAATCTGTTAGGGTTGTGGAAGCCCTGCTTTCGTACCGCTGTCAAACATAAGTGAAAATAAATCATCCGTATGTTATCACTTTTCTGTTTGTGCCTACAGGACGCGCAGGGCCAGATGTTTCCATTAACACTTACGTTTCACAGGTTGAGGAGGCGGTACATCCACTGCAGGCTGCGCTCTCTCTGATTGGACGCCTGGCTTCTGCTCCACATCGCCGGCAGAGTCACCGGTTGTCGTAGTGACAGAGTCCTGCTCTGTTTGCACCAATGGCTCACTCTGCATATCTGTGTATGGCTTTGATGACTCGGTGTATGGCTTTGTTATGATCTGCTCCGATTCCTCCTCTTCCTGCTTCACGAATCCGTTCACAGAACATTTCCCCTCCGTCTCCTCGTCCTCTTTCTCAGTCTTCACCCCGTTTGTGAGTTCTGTTCCCTTCTCAGCCTCTGTGCCGTTAAGCTGTTCGGTGTGACCTGAGGTTTCTTTTTCCTGCTTGCTAACAGTATGTTCAGCCTCAGACACTCCGTTAAGTTTGGGATCTTTGCCGTTTACCTCCGCCACATCTTGCTCTTCATCTTCACTGTTGCTGTCCTCCTCCTGGTCTGACGTGCTGCGTCTCGCTCGCTTGTTTTTGGGACAGCCGTTCTCCTGAGGCCTTCGCTCTCTGCGGTTTGGGGCCCTTCGCACTATATTCTTATCAGAGGACCGATTTCTCCCCCCAGCGCCACCTCTCTATCAGAAAAAAGAAAAACATCAGAAAATGAGGGCTGTTATGATGGCAGAAATCCTGAATATCAGATAGAAAAGAAAAAAAAAGTACCTCTTTAATATAAGGCTTCACGTGCATCCCTTTCACCGTCTGGATGACGCCATCATAGAACTTCACGGTGTAGGATGCTGAGGATGGGAAAAAAACAACACTGATGTTTTATGCACCCTACAGGTACATCTTCATGTTACACCTATAAAATACTGTGCATTTAACACCATGCAGCACATAACTGAGGTTTATTATATGTTCATTTCCTGTTACTGTGCAGCTTAAATATTCAATGAATTGATTAACCACATTTTTTTTATGTAGATATAATGTTTGGAAAAATTTTGATTTTTTAAAACCAAACCAGTCCTTCAGCTTCAACAGCTGAGGGTGACATCAGTATTTGTTCTTAGGTGTGTACTTATAACTGATAAACTAGCCCTCTGTGTTATGCCACCAGCTGCACACAGTTTGTTGGATTTTAATTGTTAATTGTGATTTTAAAAGCATGTTTCCCAGCTTGGATTTTGCCTCCATTTAAAACAATTTCATCCCGCAAAGGGGAAGAATGAAAACAAAGCTAGTTTTTGAAAGTGTATCCATCTACACATCTATAAAAATCATTACATTTTAAGCCATATAACTCAGCTTGAAATTGAACCTTGTTTTTTTGTTTTCACAGCACTAGTGGCTCTTCTTTGGACAGTAGGCTGACAGGAAAGGGGGTATGACAGAGGGGGAGAGACATGCAGCAAAGGACCACAGGTCGGATTCGAACCCGGGTCGAGGACTAAAGGCTGATTTATACTTCGAAACTAGGTCGTCTGCGTGTGTCGCAGTGGACAAAAAGACGTCCCTGCCATGACCAGACAATGCCGCAGACAGGGGGCCGGCTTGTTTTGTTTTTATGACCGAAATTACGGAAAACAACTCATGAAGTTGGACCAGTTAGAAGAGCGAGGTGCGCGAGAATGCTTGGACCCTTTTTCCACCTGGATCCCTGCTCTTTTTCGCCGTCATGTCAATCCATTGTCGGACAAACTTGGCCGTATCTAGACCCACAGCGTATAGCGCAAACCACGCTCAAAATTGAGCATAGATAAAAAATGTCTGCATCAAGCTCACTGCGACACACTGTTGAGGGGAGTATAACCAGCCCTTAAGGCCCCCATACATGGGTCGTGTGTGCTAACCACTGCCCCACCAAGGATTTTACTTTTATAGATGTAACCATTTCCTTATAATATGACTGTCTTTGCCTAATGGATTAACATTATGTTAATATGGAGGATTTAACAACCTCTTCCGTATTTTAATGCATCTGTGACCCGTTACCGATGCTGTGATTGCCATAATGCTGATCCTTAATGTTCTAAAAACATCTGAGGCCATCAACAAAGAACTGGATCAATAATGACATCACTACAGGCCTTTCTGGTGGGACCAATCCAAGGACTCATTACCAAACATGACACTTTTTAAATACAGTCTTTAAAGAGTCTTACAACCCATTTACCTTAAATGAAAGTAACTATTGTAACATAACAAAATATAAAAAGGATGTATTGGTATAAACTGTTCTGTATAACACCATATGACCCGAAGCCAAAATGGCTGCTACTTACCATCTTTATTGACTGAAATGACCTTCGCTGGGTAGAAACGGCAGTCAGACCAGCTGGCCAGAACCTTGTCATTTACATGAAAGCCCTGGAGGATAGAAGCAAGCCATGAGGGAAACTTAACCTATAAGAGGGAACGTTACTAAAAGTTAACAAAGAGCAGCAGTTTAGTGTGTTTTGGATTCATCAGAGCCAAGTTAAATATGTAAACAAAAACACAGGTGTTCCATTTTAACTCATCCTCAACAGAAAGGAAGCTCGGCATCCAGCAGACTGTAAAATCAACCGCTACATATGGCCAATAAGGCAGGAATCTAGTCTTACAGGCGGAGAGCTTTCACCATGCAGGCCCTGCCGTCTCAGCTGAATTCTCTCCACTGGTCTCAGGTAGGGACTAGTCCAGTCGAACCATTCATCGTAGCGGTGGCTCCACTGACGGTAATGGATTAATACCTTCTCATCTTCGTAGTCAATCTTCTCTATGTTGGCAGCATACCTGTAAAACGAGCATTAATGCATGATTAAGAAACCAACTAGAGCAAAGAAACCAGCTGCCCGGCCTTCAGCTTAACCATATATTTGAGTTTGTTTAACACAGACAAATCAAAGTGCAAAACAAAAAGGGAGAGAGAGTATGGGCTTTGTAATGATTAAATGAAAGCTGAATGTGATGGAAAAACTGAGTCCATTCTGATCACCTAGCAGTTTCCCAGCACAGAAGGGAAGAAAATGTTTTTTTTTTTTTTATTCCTTTCCAACCACTGCCAATCAAATCAGAGCCAAGCATGTTATGAGGAGTTGAATGTGAGAAAATGAGGGAAGTGAAACAGATAAAGAATGGAGAGGAATGAAGCGAGGCCATGACTCACCAGTTTTTGAGGCTGTCTCTAGCCTCAAGCTGAGCGCCCACCTCAAATGTTATCCCTCTTCTGTTAGGGGGCGTCTTACTCATACTGCCCACATCAAGGCCCCCTTCCTGTACAAACACATACACATTAACCAAAAACACACCAATGCAAAACTAGACTGGTATAAACCTTGGATTTGCTGCACAGAGAGAACCATCAAGGTGCAGGAACTCATCTTGGTTTGTTTTGTTCTCCTTCAAAGCTAATCTTAAGGTCATGGGGAACTTTGGGTTTTTAACCTATAAGCTTTACTGCAAAAAAAAGGTATACAGATTTTGCTTAGTAAATGCGTAACTATTTAATCTACAATCTTCCCGGACCTAAAATAATACTTTAAATGTTATAAGCTATATAGCATTATATATGCTCTGCATTCTTGAGGATATAAGGTTTTCTAGCAGTTTTATTCTGTTTAATATACTGACCAGTGGCTGAACCAGATAAAGAATGAAGACACATATTTTAATACATAACTGAAGATTATCCTGTCATTTCTGGGAACAGTCTTGATTTCCTTAGTTTTGGGAGTCAGGTGATGAGCCAATACTTTAGATGCAGGGTTCTCAAAAGTATCTATAACCTGCAAAATATCAATACTCGAACACAGTCTTCCATTACAAGACTTGATATAAATAGTAAATACAGTGTTGTTTGCATTTTTTTTCGCAAACTATTTGCACAGTAAAAATGGAAACAACCTAAAAATATTGTCAAATTGTGTTTATTTGGGGGATCTATTTTACACTTGGCTAACAAGATCTTTGATTCTGTTGAGAAAGCACTCCCCATAATGAGATTGAAAAGGTATGTTTTTCATGTTAATAAATGTTCTTATGCCTTTAATTATAAAGGCATAAGAACGTTTATTAACATGGCATTTTCATTCCCATGGCACCAAATGTTGTGTTGGGTTCGAATACTTTCTAAGGGCTTAAAAGTGAGTTTGAAAATGTGGTATCGTGACAACCCTTATTAGATGTAGGGCTGAAACAATTAATCTGATTAATCGATTATCGAAATAATAGTCAACAAATTTACTAATCGATTAATCGTTAACTGGAGCATAGAGATTCTAAAACATGCCTTTAGCTGCAGGGGCAACCCACTTAAAGCAATAATTATACCAAGATAGTAAAAAAGAAACTATATAAACATTCTGCATTTAAGATAAAAATAAAATGCTCACCTTTCAATATGCTCTATCCACAACTTAATTGGAAGAGCTTGAGTTTAAGCTTGTTTAATTTCTCAACCAGTCTAATTTAAAGAACCTTTGGCTTTCCGATTATTACTCAATTACTCTGAGAAAAAAAAAAAAAAA